TTAAATGACTTGTCCAAGGTCACATAGCCAGAAAGGAGAAAAGCCTGGATTCTAACATACCAGACTCCCAAGTATCCACTCCCATATTTGAAAATTGTTCATATTTTTCCCATTTGCTTTCTCTTATTTTATGTATAAAAATATTTTTTTTTTTAAAAAAAAAGTAACACTACACAGAAAGTTGCAGTGCCTGTTACGTTCCCATCCCCTATCCTATGAATGTGTTTTGTGTCTGCCTCAGCCTATTGATAGCAATGCTATTGCTAGGAATGCCTGGAGCACTCCCCTGGGCCTGTACTTCTTATGGTAGCCCCCACAGACATTTCCCCCACCAGAACCAATGTTGTGGCTGGACTGGCACTTGCAGTTCTTATTAACTGCAAGACACACCTCAGCAAAAACCATCAGAGAACTTTGCAAAAACAAGGTTTATTACAAGTCCTGGAAAGTACACAGCATTCCTGGGGTCACAGGTAAAAAGACAGAGAGAGAGAGAGAGAACCTGGGGTCCAGGGTGGGGTGTCTAGGATTTCATGAGTTTACTCTCTTTTTGACAAATTTTAAAAATAAGAGCAGGAATTAAAGCACAGGAAAGGAAAGCAAGTGATCAAACTGCCAATCTAGGTTACCTAGGGCTTTCTAAAGGTGAATTTAATGGTGGCTCTCTCAATTGTGTAGCTGGCATTTGTTTACTCGCGATGTCTTTGAAATGGATGCCACAGCAATTAAAAGCTTACTGTCATGCAATCAATCAAAAAAGCTAATTGTCAGGCACATTTCAGTGAGGAATACCCTTCAGTTCCTCTTAAAAATATTTTTACATATATGTCTTGTATCTATGGATAGTATATAGTGTCATTTTTCTTGTCTCAAACATTTGCATAAGTAATAATATACTCTATTTCCTTTGTGGAACTTGCTTTTTTCTTCTCACCACTATGCTAAGCTCTGTCTATGTTGATACATATTGATCTCTCAGACTGCACCATCCAGTCCTGTGACCACTGGCCATATTTGGCTACTGAGCACTAGAAGTGTGGCTATTCGAATTGAGATGTGCTATAGGTGTAAAATACATGCTGGAGTTCTAAGACAGTGTGAAAAACAGTAAAATACTTACAATTTTTTATATTAAATGTTGAAATGATAATATTTTAGATATACTGGATTAAATAAACTATATATTAAAATCAATTTCACCTGTTCCTTATTTTTTTAGTGTACCTACTAGAAAATTGAAAACAACATATGTAGCTTGATTTACAGCTTGCATTATCTTTGTAAGAGAGCTCTGATCTAGATTCTTCCTCTTAACTTCTGTCAGTCTGGGTTTGGTTACTTGATGAAGGAGCAAGCTCTAAATCTGAATAATAAAAACTAATATTTACTGTTCACCGATACTTTTCTAAGTGATTTATATGTAATAATCCATTTAGTCCTTATGGAAAGTTGCCTGGCTACACAAAGTTGTGCAAAGTTATGCAACTTTAAGCAGACTAAGCTGGCACTGCAGTCAGGCAGGCTGGCTCCATGGCCTGAACTTCTGCCAACTTGACTAGAAAGACTCTATGAGAAACAATATAAATCTGCCTAAGAAAGCAATGACCAGATAGCTTAATTTGGTGATGTCTCTAACAATATACAGTCCTTACACAGCAATAGATCATTTGTCTTTTTCAACTTTTAATGGAACAGTTCTGAACAGATACACATAGCAATTTCAGCTTTAATGAAGCCAGCACAGGCAGTATTTTTTGACATCCATTTGCAATGTTATGAAATCAGCTTTACTCTTTGCTACTAATTATATTAACTATTTTTAGGCCAAATTGTCAAGACACCATACTCATTCATGCTTCCTATGTTTTGATTTGTTTTCTTTAGGCATATCTATTTATTCCTAAAGTGTTTTTCTTTTTTTAAAAAAGAGATGTCCTCATTATTCTGCCAATGATAAAATTAGGGCTCATAATTAAGTTATAAAACACACTAGGGAAGAAAAGATGACATGCAATTGCCATGGGAATATTATTGATGAATATGTTTTGCTTTTCAAATTCTGAATAAAAATTTCACTTTAACATTTCAAATTAATACGGAACATCACTTGTAAAATTCTTAATCTTTTAGCGGGAAATGCTATGGGACATCTTTTGCAGAGTTCTTAATTTTTTTTTAGTAAACCTAGTTAAATTTTCTTCCCTTCTTTCTTTGGGAAAAATGCCCTCTCCCCAAATCCAGATAATTACCTCTGAAACTGGTAACTCAGGTCCTCTGGCTTTTGACAAAGATCATCGGACCACCATACGGAAATGACTTTAGGCCAGGCAGGGCCCTTAAAGTCTGAGAGAGGAGAGAACTTTAGGACAAAGGTTTTTTATTCTTTAAGAAATATATTAACCAAGACTGTTTTCCTTTACTCGCTTAGTAGGCAAATCAATAATAGAACTTAATAGATATGTAACCTTGTATCTTCTTTTCCTTATCTAGCGACTGGGGTGGCAGTGCAGTAGAATACAAAGATCTCGGCCTGACTGAGGCAAAAAGGGATAGAGCTCCATGAAACCCCAATAGACATGGACGATGACCCTTCTCAGCAGTAAGCAGATACAGAAGAAGAGACCTCCCGTCCCTCAGCACCCATACTACTAATAAGGTGGTTCATGGCTCTTAGAAAAGAGTTAGGCAGGAAAGTTAGATAGGGAGTTTCGGGTCTGCCTGCAAAACGCTGAGGTCGTCCTATTCTAGAAAGGGTCTGTTCCAGTCTTCCCACAATCAAGCAAGCCAGAAGGTATTTTGGGGCTAAAAGTAACACATACAAGGAAACTAGTAAGCAGAAAATTGGGTACCAGTTTAAGCCAGTCACTCACACCTGCACAATAAGACTCCAATGACCTTCAACTCACCTGAGCCTCATTATGCCATCATTATAATATGATGCGTATGCTCAGAAGTTCATTAATATCATTGTAACAGAATGAATTCTGGGAACGAACATGAGCAGAAAGCAAATGATGAATCACTGAGTCCTGTCGATCTTAATTGTCAATCAAGGAAGCCCACTCCTCTAAGAAAAGTGACCACCCACAACAAATAGTAATAAAAATAGTAATAAAAACCCTGAAGGCTTTGTCACCAGGCCTTTTGAACCACGTTTCTCTTGCTTAGGCCCGCTACCATATCTAGAAGTGTACTTTCCTTTCTAATAAAACTTTTCTGCTGTATTTCGGTGTCTTGCTCAATTCTTTGTTCGAGACATCAAGAACCTGGACAACATACTGGGAGAGGATCCCCACTCTCTGGTAACAAAATCATAAAGTTACAGAACTGATTGAGACCCAAGGTCTCCTATGTGTTGGTTAAGATCATAGGCTTGGTGTCAGGCAAGCCATGTGACCCTGGGGCCAGTATCTTAACCATTGTAAGCCTCAGTATCATCTGTAAAATGGAGATACTAATATCTACCTTCTAGAGCTCTTTTGTGGCTTAAATGAGATGATGGTTGACTGTTCTTTGTACATATTTTTATTCCATGGTAGTTGTGGTAATTACTATTATTATTATTACTATTAAGCCTTCATTATTTCTCCCCTGGTGACTCCAAGAGTGTACAGCCACTACAAGCACACCTGGTCCTATCCCAACAGGACTTTCTCCTCTATTCTCAACCAGGACTCTTGAACTCTTCCCTTAGGTGGAGAGATCCATGGTTTACAGGAAGAAAATCCTGCAGCCCTCTTCCTCCACTTGCTCTCCCTCTGGGGTACTCCGGGCAGCTCTTGCTGAAGAAAGCTGCATTGAGACTCTCTACTAGAGACCCTCTACTGCACACCCTCCAACATCCTTAATTCATTCTTCATCCTCTCTTAGCCTTACTTCCCTAGGATTGGTCTCCATAAACCCCTCCTGATGCATCTGAAAATGTTAACATTGATGCTTTCCTTGGGATGGTCCCCTTGCTCTGGAGTGCTACTGCTCATCTTGCTCCCTAAATGTGGACATCCTTGCCTCTTTAAGGCCCATGATGGTAGACTGAAGAAGGATGGGGCTTTCCCAGCTCATGTCTTCTTCCGCTCACTAGCTAGGTTTAGGATGAGTGTCCCCATTGCCCAGAAATTATACCTGTTTTGAGGAACATAACCACAAAGCCACCAGAAGTCACTACTTTGCCCTAGGATGCTAGGGAGTTCTTAAACCAGAACTTGAGAGGTCAGCCATGGATATGAAATTAGAAAGCAGTTTAGGCTCTGCCATGACCCTGAACTAAAAAGCTCTTAGAGGTGAGGAAACTGGGGCCTAGGGGCTTAAGAAACTGGCCTATAGGTATGGAGAGTACCAGACGTTGACTTTCCTCTAAGATATGCTATTTATTCCTGGCACTAATCCCGTTTTGCATTGTATTAGTTAGAACCGCCTTCTCACCCCTCCCCCCACATGTAGCACATCATCTACTACCCAGAAGATGCATATTAAATATTAATGTATGAGTTCCTCCTTGTCCGGCCTTGCAGAACTTTCAGCGAGGCAATTTCTATGCCTCTGCATCCTTAGGGCTAGCACAGCATCTTGCCCTATCGGCTCGGTCAGGATTTGCTGCCTCTCCTCCTGCAGGCTCCTGTGTGGAGTAAGCCTGTAGGTTCTTCACCTCTGGATTCTCAATACCCATAGCGCCCCATGCCTTAATATAACAGGTGCTTACAGTTCAACTTAGTTCTTCCTGAGACCTTCTCTAAGAGCTGGGCCATGCTGAACCTTATTTATCTCAAGTCTTCCTCTGTTAGTGGCTTTTGGACTCTCTTCGTCAAGTGAATAAAAATAAAGTTATTTCTGAAATAAGTCAATTTCTGACTAGTTAATGATTTAGGTATCTCCACAACCAAATCCAGGCCACTCTATATCCGCCAACCGCCCGTTGCCTAGTAACAGCCGCCTCCACCTCGGTGCTTTTGCCCTGCCTCGCTCCCTAATGCGCACGCTCAGATCCTCCATCCAGGTCCCACCCAACGCTGGCGTGCAGAAGTGACGTTGGATGTTTGCGACGCCTTCGGCGGGCTGGCTGCTCAGGTCCTGGTGACTGTTTAACTGGCGGAATCCCGAGCGCCATGGCCTCCGCTGGGGTATCCACCGGGCGACAAGCCGAGGATGCGTTACCGCCACCCGCCGAGCCACCGCTTCCCGAGACGAAGCCGCAGCCGCCGCCGCCCGTTGCCGCGCCTCAGCCGCAGCAGTCGCCGGCGCCAAGGCCTCAGTCACCTGCAGGCGTGAAAGAGGAGAACTACTCCTTTTTACCTTTGGTTCACAACATCATCAAATGGTAAGGACACAGAAGAGGACCAGCCACGACACGCCCTCCCGCTCTTGTCACGTTTCAGAGCTGCAAAGGCGTAGGCACTCTCGGTTACTACCCCACCACCACCATTTTACAGATGGAGAAACTGAGACCCAGAGGGGAAAGAGGCCTTTTCCAAGACCTCACTGAGTCGTTCCATGAGTTCATCAAATATTTGAGCCCTAGAGTTGCCAGACCTCATGATGGATGGCCAGTCGATAGTCTTAAAAATGAAGCCAGCTTAGAGACTAAAAGCACAGGCTGTGCAGTCAAACTGCTCAACTTCGCATCCTAGTGATCTGGAGAAAGTCACGCTTCTCTGAGCCTCAGTTTATTGTGGTTTCCTTTTTTCCACAGATCCAACAGATATGAATCATCTTCCCTGTGTGGCACACTGCTGCATGCTATGGGATGTACACAGTAAAAAGGGCCAACTTTTCATCTCCACGTTGCTCACCAGTTAGAAGGGAAAAGAAACAAACGGGAATAACCCAAATTCAGGGTTAGAGGGGTGGTGATTGGAAACATTAAAGAAAAAGACACAGAAGTTGCCCACTGGAATTGATTCTTGTAGTACTAACTTTGTTCTTCATATCAAAGCAAGTGATTGTCATCCTTTTGGCCAGTCTTCAGGTTAGCCTGAGTTTCAAACTAGTCCTATAAAGGAAACTAAAAACTACAACCAAAAGTTTCCTTGATCCCCATGTTCGCCTAAATTATTTTTACTTTTATGTTATTTATATCCACATGATAATAGGTGTAAACCCCTTTACTTATAGCTCTTATTCAACTATTAAAAACCAAAACAGAGTAAATTAAAACAAAATTACTATTATAGTAATGTTGAAATGAACATTAATGTGTTCTTGGATGTTTTGCTGAAATGGATTACTTCTCACAACATGAAAGTGTTGGCTGTTAATGGCCCAGCTTCTTTTGAGTTTAACCAGACTGGGTTCATTTGATGACCTGATGCTTTCTCTGCTTTTCAAACAACTGCAAAGCCTTCGTTCTCACATTAGACCCTACTTCATTTGGGTTCACTTGGTGTGACCATACTGTCTATAGGGTGAGGCAGGTTCTTCTGTTCTCATTAGTCTGTGACCATCAAATAGCACTACTCCACAGCAGTAAGATCACAAACACAAATACAAATGCAGACCCTGCAATCCCAGAGCAGTGCTGGATTACAAATATACTAGTTTTAAAAAAATATGGAAAAATTAAAACAAAATGTACACATTCTCAGAGACTGTTCTTGGGCTTTGGTAGAACTATTGTGTTGGGCTGGCCTTAAAGATGGTACAGTAAAGTACACTAGAGAGAACATGGGTTTTAAAATCAGATAGTCTTAGATTCAAATCTCATGCCAATGCTTGCTTGCCTTGTAATCTTGGTGAATACATAACCTTTCTAGGCTTTAATTTTCTTATCTCTAATATATGATTAATAGTAGACCGCAAACAGTGGGTTCAAAGTATAGCTTTATGGTGTACTGACTGGGTGACCTTGGTCAAATAACAGCTTCTCCGAGCCTCTCTCTTGAGGAATGGGACTAATAATACTTAAAGCATAAAATTGTTATGTACTCAAGAACAGTCTCCAGTGAAAGATATTGGGTTGATTACTTGTGTTTGTCTCTGTTTCCTCTAAGAGGACAGTGAAGAGTTGTTTTGTTTTAAGCACAAAACCAAAAAGAATAAGAAAGGAGCTAATTGCCACAAAGAAGATGACCAAGGGCTAACCCACCTACCAGTCCCAAGAAGCAGCCAGAAGCAGCTGCCTTTGACCATGGCCTCCCCCCAAATATCAGGCATTGGCAGTGCCAGGGACTTCTGGAAATAGGATTCAAAGCGGGGCTAAGAACAGAGGATTACTTAAAAGTCTATTTAAGAAAGAGATCCCCATATTTCTTACCTCTAACTCTAAGCAGACAAATGACTACCCTTCCATCTTGGAAGACAATTAAAAGGTTGCACTTTCCCAAGATTTTTTCTTAGGAAAGGATAAGGCAGAGAGTATCTGGGCTGGAGGGACACCAGGCACATTGTAGGAGTTTGAAGGAAGGAAATTTACTGAAAATAGGGTTTAAGAGAAAGTTCACTGAAAATTGAGACCACACCCTTGTCTTCCCCCACTTGGCTTCTAGAGCAATAGCCAAAGAGAATAGAGGCATCTTTTGAGTGTCTGAGAGAAAAATCACTGGGGGCTCCCCAAGAAAGAACCTAGTCAGTTCATATAACTAGATAGCCAAGGTCACTAAGCATGTGAAGAAACCCCCTAGTAAGAAAGGACAAAACAGAAGAGCAGAAAAAGCCACTTGGAGGAAGACAGTAGAGAGGAAAGATACTGTAAATGTAACCATGAAAAAAGGCTAGGATCTTTTTTTAAAATATATCTAGTAATATATTTGAGGCTAGTTTGTAGGCTAATGAGGGAAGGAGACAGACTGGAAGGACACTGATGGGAGAGGAGACCTTGCGAAGCTTGGAGTCAGAAAGCTTATAACGGGTGATGCCAATGGTAAGTCTTAAATTATGAAAGTGAGGAAGGGGGCTATAGGAAGAGCATGGGTAAGAATGGGGTACCAAGAAGTAGCATCATCTCATGGGGGTCAATTCAGTTTGGTGAGTCTGGAGTACAAATCCAACAGGAAGGGAGAACTGGAAAGGTGGGAAAAGACAGGCTACAGAGGACAGTGCATCCACCTTAGGAAGTGAGATTTTGTCCTCTGAAGGACTGAGGAGCCAGTGAGGCTTTCTAACTAGGGAGTCTTAGACTTGTGCTCAAGATGGATGTGGCATCTCAGCATACAAGCTGGCAGGCCTGGTGAGAGGGAATGAGGTCCAGGACCAGCTCAGTCACCTAGGCCCTTAGTCTCTTCCTCTTCTGGTGGCCCTTTTATTTGTTTACTCCTTGCACAGGGGATGAATAAGGAAGTAAAAGCTTAAGTGAATTTAGCCTTCTCTAAAGAATTCAGAGTACTACCTCAATAGGTTTTTTAAAATGTTTTATTTTTAAAAGTAATAATTGCAAATTCAGAAACATGTAAAATGAAAGAAGAATTCCTTCCCCTAAGTTCCCTCACCAGTGAAAACTGCTGCATTAATACTTTATCCTTCCAGGAATTATATATGCATTGCTTTTCAAAGATTTATACAAATTAAGATTATACTGTACTTTGTTTTTTTCTCTTAGTAGTCTGCTTTGGACACTGTGAAGGTCTTCCTCAATAAGGTGACTGCACCATAAATTATGTAACTAGTCATCTGTTTATGGACTTTTAGGGTGTTGTTCTAATTTTTGCTCTTACCAGCAGTGCTGGGGTAAGCATCCTTGTATTTGAGTAAGTTTATGATGAGGAAAATCCTCAAGTAGTGGAAATGCTGGAGCAGACGGTACATTCGTTTTTAATTTTGATAGCTATTGCTAAATTTAAAATGCTACATCTTGTAGCTTTTTATTCAGAACACAGTCCTGTAGATTGGACTGCTTCAGTTAACCTAATGGCCCATAAACCTGTGACCCAAAAAGCGCTTTTTAAAAAATTAAAGTTGTAGATGTATTCAGAGTACCCATAGATATAAAATGGCAAGTGAGCCTCTCCCTTCATTTCTCCCAGCTCTCTCCCTTGTCCCCAAACTGCATAATATTCCATTTTATAAATATGCCGTTTAAACTTTTCCTTGCGCAAAGACACTTTCATTATTTCTGGCGTTTTGCTCTTGCATTCAGAGCTGCAGTGTACCTCATTGTAGATGCCTGCTTATAAACTTTTGAAAGTCTCTGAAAGGTAAATGTCTAGCAGTGGGATATGGGAATTTAAAATTTTGATCACTATCAGCAAATTCAGAAAGACTATCAGTTTATGCTTCACCAACAGTGTATTTGTCTTTCCCATAACCCTTCCATTACCATTAACTTTTTAATTTTGGCTAATCTAAAAGGTCAGAAAAGATGCAGTATATCAATCTGTCTTTTATTATATCAGGTGAAGCATCTTTTCATATACAATTTTATATGTCATTTGTATTTTTTCCCTGTAAACTGCCCATTTTTCTATTAACTCATTCCTCTTTGTACAGTAAGAAAAGTGTGCCTTTGTCATGTGTATTGTAAATATTTTCTCTGAGTTGTTTTCTTTTGACTTTGTTCCTAGATGGATCGGTCTTTTTTCTTTTCTTCCATCCATCCATCCATCTTTCCTTCTTTTTTTTTGCCCCTCCTCAATCGGAAGCATATCATTTTATGTAAAAATATTTGTTAAGATTTTCCTTTATGGCTTCTGAGCTTTGGTCCTAGTTAGAAAAGCCTTTCTACTCTAATAATATTATATTGATCCTTTTTTTTGTAGGACTTTATGGTTTAATTTTTTTACTTTTAATTCTTTGATGCTCCAGGAATTGATTATAATGGAAAGAGTAAAGGAGAGGTCCAGCTTATCCTCTAGTTAGCTGTCTCTCACACTGCTGTTATTATACTTATTATTTTTCCTGCTTGAGCTGCTGCCCACCATACACTGAATTCCCATATATTTTCTGATCTGCTTTTGGACATTCTGTTCTCCAGTACCAAGCTGTTTTAATTCTCAAATCTTCATGGTACCAATTAGAGTTTTGAGGAAGAAGAAATGGGAAACTGAGTCCGATATCATTGAGAGGTCACAAGAGGTGACTCAAGTTTAAGAGGAGGTTGGTTTCAGTCTGTGTCTACTGCTGGAATGATTCTGGGTATCACTCAGGATGTATACAAAAGACCATCAGGAAGTGCTTGTCAAGCCACAGCAGTAATATTTTTGTCTACCTTTTAAAAACTACAGTAGGTGGGACCAAAGTGCCCTAAACTTGCTCTTGTTTGTATGATGTTCTGGCCTACTCTCCTTTTTTCCTTTCTAAAGTTGGATGATGACTAATGTTGGACACAAAGGCAGGCCCATTTGGAGCTTTCTGCTTTTATTCAACTCAATATATGGGCCTGTCTCTTTTCTTTGGGCTTGAGTATCTCACAGTCATCCTGGCCTACCAGGTTCCCACTTGGTTCGAGCCAGTTCCTGAATAGAGTGTTTTCCTCATCCCAGGAGTTCCGTGTTATTTACTGCCACAGCTAGGGCAGGCCGAGAAGCTTGCAGAGGGGATCTTGCTGTGGGCTGCATGGCCCCCTTTCAGCCAGATCCTCTCCAGGCGGGCTTTTCATATGGCTCCTTCTTTATTATCTAAAGACTATCTCCCTTACTGACAACCATGAGATTTGGGGTTTTCAGACGTGAGCATCTTAAACACGGTTCACTTTTTACTTTCAGAATTAAATATTCTTTTGGGCCAGGTTATGTTTGTTTCTACAACTGGATTATCATAACTTTCAAATTTTTATTTCATGTATTTTTGTTTGTTTTTACTGCGTTCTTTCAGACTCATGTAATGTGAATCAGTTTTTTTAAAACTATATTTTAATTTCAAAACCCCTTGGGACTTAAATCCTTAACAATGTGTTAACACATATGCCATCCAAGTATAATGATTTCAGAAGTCCAAATGGTTTCTGTCCAGAGTTGTGGATCTGAGACAAAACCTAAAAGAATTAAAAGATGCTCCCTATTTGCTTCCTTCCAAATGATTTACAGTTCTCAGGAAAACCAATTACTCCTCCCTAGAAACTGAAATAAGGCATACCTTTAATTGTGGGCATATCTAAATTATGGGCATCAAATGACAACAAGAAATGTTTGGCCATTCAATCCCCAGAATAAATGGTTGATTCTTCATTCCTTATCTCTGAATTAGAGCTATTGATAGTGAACAGGCCCTGGTGGCTGACTCATTTGCCAGATATGAGCCATAACTAGTGGATCGCCAGGAGTGATGGATATCCTGCCTGCATAAGCAGAGAAATGACAAATAATAAATATGAATCAGGACCATATGGATTGAAATTTCCCACCAGGAATAAACATTTGTTAAAAGAAAAACAAATGATCATTGACAGTTTTCCCCTCTTATGCCCCAATGAATGACTTTTAGAACCACCTACTGAATTGGCTTTTCGTTTTTTGTTTCAACTGCTTGTTTTCAAAAGCTCATCCACTTAATTACTTTTTAAAAATGTGTAAGAGCAATGAACAGTCTGTTTCTTTGATTTTAAGAGAAGGTTTTTGTTTTCGTTTTGTTTTTAGTAGCAAGGGGCGGGGTGGGAAAGCATGGATCTCTGGACAGCTAAATATAGCTGTGAGGTGAAGTTAATGATCCTGCCTTTAAAATGAGCTTGACCTGAAGGCAAGGAGTTTACATGACTGTGGTAGGAGAGGCTCACACCTGCTGAAAAATTTCCAAAAGCTTGCAACTAATTTAAATTTTATGAATAGCTCTGGAAATTAGTCTTCCTGTTAACAGGTTCAAGCATCAAACCTTCAATTAAAAGTAGTTCTTGTTAACTGACAATCTCCTGACTGATCTGGAAATAGCTCAGATTAGAAGAAATGTAGTATTTCAGCAAGTTTTGCTTGCCATTTGTCACTTGATATTGGTAATGGCTTGTTCCTTCATTTAACAGACATTTATGAACTTATTTGCCAAGCATTCATTCTTTCAACAAATGTTACTTGCATGCCCACAGTGCCCAGGATACAGCAGACAGTGTCCCTACCCTCTGAGCTAATAGACTTTAAGCATCTAATTTTGTGAGCATTCTATGAGAGGGGCTGCACAGGCACTGCTAGGTGCTGGGCGCTTTTATAGAGCAGCTGTTTCATGCCTGCCCTAAGGCTGCATGAAAAAGAACCGGTCCCTGTCCTTTGGGGGCACACAGCCTGATAAGGGGATGGACAGAAATCAAGGCATTCTAAAAGAATGTAAGAAGACAGCAAGTTTTGTGGGGTGCAGAGGAAAGAAGTCAGGGGTTGTCTCTTCCTGCGAATTCTAATGACTGCCCTCTGCCCCCTGCAGCATGGACAAGGACAGCCCAGACATCCACCAGGACCTGAATGCCCTCAAAACCAAGTTCCAGGAGATGCGAAAGGTCATCAGCACCATGCCTGGCATCCACCTGAGCCCTGAGCAGCAGCAGCAACAGCTGCACAGCCTCCGGGAGCAAGTTAGGACCAAGAATGAACTTCTGCAAAAGTATAAGAGTCTCTGCATGTTCGAGATCCCCAAGGAGTAGATGAGGCTGCTTCCAGGAATGTCCGAGAAAGAAGAGAGAGAGCAAATGGGCTTACTGCCTCTCCACCCCCTTGGAGTGTTGTTCTTTCAGACCTCAGATCTGAACTTTTAGCCAAGTAGTGTGGGGGCTATTATACAGCTTCCTTGGCTGAGTTTGGCATTGACTGTGGGAGGAGCCAGCCTTAGGAGCTTAGCTTTATTGGGGCTTCCTTGTATATATCCATATGTCTAGATGCATAATAACTGGCGTATGTGCTGGTGGAAGGAGGAATGTCCCTGGAGGCTGCAGAGGTGTGGAGGACTCTCTCCCCGCTTCTGGGGAGGGGGCCATCTCCTGTGTGTTTGGGCTCCAATGGTGTATCTGAAGAACAAAGCAGGAAAAGAGGCATCTCCTCTTTGCTTCCTACCTTCCCTGTCCTCCCACCACGTAGATATGATCAATATGTACCAGGTATATATTGTTACCTACCATCATGAAACATTCGCATAGAATTCACTGGACAGATAAGGCCTCTACTCATATGGCATGGGTTTAAAATGGTAAAGGAAGGCTATGAGAGAATGAGCACTGTTTTGAAAGACTATAGGGTACTTTTTCTCCTAAAACAGTTTGTTTGCTTATATGTTTGAGTTAGCAAATCTAACTGTCCATGGGGATGTCAGTCCACATCCCTGTCACATGGCCCCTGTGTCCAGGTTCTCTGCCACCTACATGTTCTTGTTACTTTTAGCTCTTGGCTCCCCTTGTCTCCTGTCACCTTCACCACAGTGCTTTCAGTGGGGCTGGAGGGTACTGTTGTCTCTACACAGGTACAAATAGGCTTCCAGGTGAACAAAACTTGCCTCTTCTAGCATTTCAGATTCCTGGTTTAAAAAATTATTTCCCCTCTAGCCTTTTCATAAAGAGTCAACCATAAACATCACTGCATTGCAAACAGGGGTTCATAATGTGCTTTTTGTTCAGAGAAGGGCAGCTCTAGGTGACAGTTCTGATCATCCCTCAGCCAGGTGTGACTGTATAGTTCTGATTCAGCTCTGAACGGTGGGACAAGCTAGACCCAGAAGTTAATCATCAAGTTCTGGTTCATAAAACATTTTACAAACACCCCTCATTTCCTGCAGATGGGACATTTATTTGCATCCTCTTCACTTCTTAAAGATAAGGTGAGAATAGTAACCAAATATCGTTTGGTCTAGAAATGAGCACATAACCTGTACTGACCAATTCAGGGGCTTAACAGATGCCTGCTGACTGACCTTGTTGGCAGGTATTGGTTAAAGATGTTTTTAGCAAGAGTTCCATTCATGTCAACCTGCAGCCACCTGTCAGAAGATGGCAGGCTTATTGGGAACTCAGGGATGTGTGAAGGGAGATATCAGGTTTCAGGGGCTTTGGACAGAAGAGCAGTCTCTGAATTTAAGTGGGTAGTTACCTACCTATTAGACTACTTCCACCTTGGGACTGTTATTTAACTGAATCAGTTATTTACTCCAAATTTCAGAGTAGTGCATGCGCCAGTTTTACGGCTCTGACCAAATATCATGAAACGGGAAGCACACAAATACAAGACCACCAGGGCCTTTCTGCAAGGCTGAAATGGACAAGGGCTCACAGGAGATGGAACCTTTCCTATATTCCAATGTTATGACTTATGATTTTTTCAGGAGTATATTTAAAAGAACTTGTGTTCCGCTCTCGGGACAGCTTGGTTTTTGTACTGAGAAATTCATAGTAGGATATTGGATATTGGATAGTTGGGAGGAAATTTTTCACTTTGCTTAGAGGAGACAGAACAAATTGAGAGAACTTCCGCTCTGCACCGCCCGCTTCCTGCAGCCCCAGCTTATACATGGCTAAACCAATGTGAAAACAATAACTCCTCTCAGAAGCGGGCATCTGTCCCCAAGGACTCAGTTGGCCTAGTGGGTCATCCTGCCTGCCTGTGATTGACCCTAGGGCCATCCCTCATTACAGAAGTGGTTTTAGGCCTGGTGGGGAGCAGCCCTCACCAGAGCAAGGGGACAGTATCGAATGCCCCTTACAGGGCTGAACACCCTCTTGAAGTCACCAATTATTTGGGTTACTGGGTGGCAGGCACTTGTGCTAAGTGCTTTTTAAACATCACAGTTAATCCTCACAGCAGCCCCATGCAGAGGATGTTTTCTGTATTTCCCGAGTGAAGAATTTGAGGCTTGGCAGGTGTCACTTGCCCCAAGCTTGCAGTTAAGAGTATCAGAGAGCTGGGTTCTGAGTTGGGAGCAAGTGTCCTCAATTGGAGTAAAGGAGACAGCAAGCAGAAGGGTGTTAGACCCCTACCTGGGGCAGCAAGTGCCTTCTGGAGCTCGAGGGGCACCAGAGGCTCAGTGATTTTAGCTTTCTAGGCAGTCATATGTGAGACCCTAGAAAGCTGGGCACCAGGGTCCTGTACCAGCCTAACACCAGATCAGTCTTTCAAGCCTCCATTTCCTTACTTGTGAAAGCAGGGCCAAGTGACACCTAATAAACTCAGAGTTTCAGATTTGATGACCTTTTGTCACCCTGGGCCAACACTGAGAATAGGACAAAATGGCTGGGGCACTGTCCTAGAGGCCCTTTGTGGCTAGTCAGAGGGAAAACTAAAGTAAATGGCTAGAAAGATGTGTCTCTGTGGAGGATCTGGACATTATTTTTGTCCTGGCTTTCTAAGAAACTGATCCCCAAATAGAAGGGCTTCCCCCAGTCTCTGGAACTTTTTTGGAGCCTTTTCTCCCTAGAGAGCTGAAGCTATTTTCAGAATGTTGGGGTTATTTTCCAGCGGGGAAGGTGAGTCTAATTACACTTAAGTAGAAACCCATCCCCTCCTTTTTACCCTTCCCCCTCCAGCAAAGAAAGAAAGCATGGTTTTCCATTTTTAATTATTTTATTTTATATTAAAAAAACAATAACAATAATTTTAAAAACTCTCACAATATTAAACACCTGGATAAGATTTTGTTCATGTTCATAACACCAGAACTACTATGAAAGTGCAAGTTTTGTGTTTTTCCTTTGTGCAATTTCACACATACATGTAAACAAGTCACTTGGTTATGATTTGACCCACATCCCACCTAGTTTTAGGAGGACAAAGTCTTTTTCGGTAGCTGTCATGGCAACCCAGAGTCACAGACAAGATAATGCCCTGTTTGTCAACCCTCCAACGAACAGGATGGGTTTCTCAAAGCCTAACAGTGCATGATTAACTTCCACACTCCCCTCATTCTTAGGTCTTTGTGAGAAGACAAATTCACCCCCTGCTGGGCCCATCCTCTTCTCCCCCCACCCCGCCCCTGCGCCCAAGTCGTGGGGAAGGCAGGTGCTAGTAGGCCATCAGAGATGGGGGTAGTCCCAGTATAGCCAGTTCTCTTTACTTCCATAGCAGATGACCGTCCCTTCTTGGTTCGTTTTCGCCTCCCCGATTAGCGGGGCCGGGATCTCGGGGAGGGAAGACGCCAGTCCGCGCGCGCAATTGGCTCGGAGCACACAGGGCTGGCCTGGACATCAGATTTGACAAAAAGATCTTTCATGAGTTCTGTCGTCAGCACGGGTGGAGTAGGGTTGCTTGGAGGGTGCTCCTAGCTGATGACGCAGCGCTCCTTGTCTTTGGCCTGGCTGCCGCCTCTGGCCTTTTCGCGGATATACATGAGGTCGCTGTGCACGCTAGGCCTGCGCGCGAAGGGCGCCACGATGCCGAAGGCGTCTCCGGGGTCGCCGTCGCCGCCGGCTCGTAGCAGCTTCTTGCTCCTCAGCGCCTTCTTGTGCAGCACATCGCAGTACTGCACCGACACCTTGCGGTGCAAGTCCGGGCTCATCTCACTCGGCAGCTTGGCCATGACGAAGAGCGCCTGGAACATCTGGTCCAGGCTGCTGTTCTTTTTGGCAGAGATCTCGAAGTAGGCACAGCGCTGGGGGTCGTCGCCCACAAGCTGCTCGATCTCGCGCTGCTCTACCTCGCGGTAGAAGTCTCGGTCACCTTTGTTGCCGCAGATGACCAAGGGCACGTCCACATTCTCCTTGGTTTTGTTCTTGAGGCAAGACTTGGTGTCGAGGATTTGCTGCTTGAGCCTTTGTACCTCCTCGAAAGAGTCGCGGTTATCCAGGCTGAACACCAGGATGAAAACGTCTCCTACGGGGGGCAGAAAGAAGAGGAGAAAATGAAGGCGGCTGCCTAGAGGACAACGTAAGCTGGTTTTGATTTTAGGGTCGCCGGGGCTCCAGCAGCCGCGCGCAGAGCGCGCTGAGCTCTCCACGCGAAAACCTGATCGTGCGGGGCGGCGGGACTGGTAGACTGCACCTCCAGGCCGCGCGCCCTCGCGGGCGCCCTTGGACCCAGGGTCTTCCACCCACCGGATAGCGCAGTTCCCTCCCCTACCCGCCCGCAACTCACCAGTGAGGATGGAAAGGCGCCGCATGGCGGGGAACGGGTGGTTGCCGGACGTGTCGAGGATGTCGAGCTGGTAGACCTCGCCGCGGATAGAGTAAAACTTGCGGTGGAAGTCCTCGATAGTGGGCGTGTAGGTGTCCTCGAAGCGACCCGTGAGGAAGCGCGACACGATGGCCGTCTTGCCCACCTTAGACGAGCCGAGGATGACCATGCGGTAGCAATTCTTGGCGGGTATGCTCAGCTCCGAGTCGCTCGGACACATCTTCTTGATCATCGCAGCCAGTTTCATTGGGCTAAGGACCGCAGAAGCGGGAACGGGGCCGAGAGAAGTTCAGAGAGTAGCCAGGCGGCACGGGAGTGGCCGGGAGGTTCTGCTCCGACTCCAGCTGGGTCTCGGACTGCGGCTGGGTTCGGGATTAGCTTTGGCTGGAGACTGGGCTCTCAGACAAACTCGCTCGCTTTGGCTCTTAGCGCCCAGTGGCCGCCTTTATATGCAGCCTGTGTGGCCGCCCCGCCCCGCGCCCTACCAGCCTCAGTGCGTCACGCCCGGCAGGCCCCCGCCTCTGCCTCCCGCGACCTCCGCAGGCCGCTACCAGCTCTTGCCGGTTTCTGCTCCCTGGGCGAAGTAAGGAAACTCAGACCAGGGGCGGGCGGGGGCTAGGAGCGCGCGGACCCTGCGCTTTTCCATTGCACAAGGGTCAACGGCCACAAGGACATCGGGGTCTCCGCTGTGCCTCCAATCCTCTGTGACTTCGACCAAGGACCCTACTCAAAACACACACACGCACGCACACACACATGCACTCTCTCTGAGCCTCAGTTTTCCCAGAGAATAACAATAGTAATCGCAGCAGCGTAACAGCAGGTGCTTACCAGGTGCTAGGCACCGTGCCAGGGTTCTGCGTACCTTATCTCTTTCAATCCTAAAAACAAACCCACAGCATCAGCCCCCTTCCGGTCCCCAGGCTGGTGGCGCCGCGTGCGTCGGCCGCCAGAGGGCAGTAGAAGGCGCCACACTCAGGGTTGGAGTAGGGACCGAGCTGCAAGGCTGGGGTTTGGAGAGGTGCGGGGCGCAGAACTTGGGGTGCCAGGCTGTACTTAGCAGGAATTATCCTCCACCTTGCGCTCTGCTGCAGACCTCCGTTTTTCTTTTCTTCCAACCAGAGATGCTCTGGGACGTGGCAGAAAGCTGTTTGCTGTCCCCATTCTTTTCCTATAGAGACCAAAGGACCAAAAACTTGCCTTTCCTTGATTAGGCCTAGGCCAACATCCCTTCCTCCCTCCTCCGTATCATTTTGTGCCTTGAGAGTCCCTCGGGCCAATATCCCCATTTTATAGTTGGGGAACTGGGTCTCTAAACCAGAGTGAGCCAGAGAAAAACCTGGACTGACAGCACAGTCTCTTGCCTTCTCCTGGCCTCCTATTTCTCTTCTGGATGATGGCGATTCTGGTTCTGTGATTGTGGATGAGAAAGTGTAGTTTAGAAGGCAGGACCTGGTAGTAGCAACAATAGTAAGTGACCCATGAGGCTGCAGGACTGAGCAAGTCCATGTAGATCAGGAGCAAAGGAGTGGGGCAGCAGGTTGATCAGTAACCAGGAGTAGGCTGATGCTACTTAAAGGCCTAGAAATAGCCTGGAGCTAGCTTGCTCCCGCCTGGAGCTTCTGAAAAAGACTTCGCTCCTCATAGTGACAGGCAAGGCTATGCTGTGTTTTGCTGCGTCTGATTTGACAAATTCAGGGAGGGAGCCCTCTCACCCACATGGGACAGGGTGCCCTGGGCAGTGCCAGAGGTGCCAGCCCGCACTCCCTAGCTGTTTGCACTGAGCCTGAAGAATATCAGCTGCCTGGTACGGGCCTCTCAAAGGTCAGCTCATCCAGCCTATGACCAGGATTCCAGCAAAATCTCACACCCTCTGCAGGGGAATACCAGGAGAGGGTTTATTCTCTGCCAGGTGCTATTCTAAGTCCTTCATCATGGCAACCTTGAGGGATGGGAACTATTACTCTGTTACAGATGGAGAAGCTGTGGCAGTGATTTGCCCAGGGTCCACAGCTAGTAATTGCAGGGCTGGGGCTTGAACCACCTACTCTCCCCTTCCTCTGCCTGTGACTCTGCTGTGGGGCATGATGCCCCATTTTCAGGAGCTTGATGAGGTATTTCAAGGGCACACAGCACATGGTGAGCACCCAAGGGCCACCACCCTGAGAAATATCGATAGTTCCAGCTCGGCCCTGATTCATGCTGTCATTTATGTAGGAGTTGTCTGAAAGGCCAGCTGAGCTGGGTCCACCTAACACCACCATTCTTGCCCTTGTTGAGGCTACCTTCCTCTGCCCTCCCTGTCTGAGGTAAGGAGCCGAGCCTGCCCCAAACACAGGGCTGCTATAGATGGTAGAGCAGGGCCTTCATTGCAGAAAGGGAACAGTTGAGGGTGCAAGCGAGGCTGGTCACAGCACAGGCCTGCATCACCCCAGATGAGGGGCCCTTCTTCTGCCTCCCACAAAGACTGGTCAGCCAGGATCTGAAACAAGGTGGCTTATGGCTCCTTCCTGACGGCCCGTGACAAGGCTGTAGTAAAGGTGGCACCCATGCAGCCATTCTCAACATGGCCTCTAGTCCTAGGAGAGCTATTTTGATGAGCAGAGGCCAGAAGGTGGCAGGATCAAGGATTTGAACCCAGCTCTCCCTAGGGAGATCCAGTGGGCTGGGACCCAGCAGGGGTTCTCAACTACTATGATTCCTGGTCCATTCTGGGCATGTCACCTGCCCTGCAGATGCAAGATTATAAGACTTGTTCTCCTCAGTCAGCCAAGTTCATTAAGCCCTGATGAATGCTCCAAAGCCTGTGTGCCTGCCCATCCATGTGTACAGCTGGGAGCCTCACTCCTGCAGGCGAGCAGAGGTGACTTGTTTCCACCTTTTTTTTTTTAATTAAATTTATTTGGGCTGACTTGTTTCCACCAGCCTGTGTGCCTGCCCATCCATGTGTACAGCTGGGGGCCTCACTCCTGCAGGCGAGCAGAGGTGACACCTGTTAGCTTGGGCTGACTTGTTACCACTTTTTTTTTTTAATTAAATTTATTAGGGTGACATTGATTAATAAAATCATATAGGTTTCAAGCATACAATAGTCATATGTATATTGCATTGTATCACCCATTTTGTTACAGTATATTTGTTACAAAAGTAATACATGTTCATGTTTTTAAAATATCCAAATAGTTTCAGAAAAGAATTGTGAAAGGAACTGAAAGTAGGAACCCCTCCCTGCTCCATCCCATGGGAGGGAGGCTAACTCTAAGGAGGTGCCCACCCCTGTGCACAGATGACCTCTTCACAGCTGCCCAACACCCAGCTCTGTTAACTTAAGCACCTTTTCTGTTCTCCTTCACCAGGTCCTGCTCCAGGCCGACTAAATCCAAGTGGGAGTGTTTTCAACAGGTGAGCCCCACAGTCAGCCAAGCAGAGACAAGTTGCCATCCCACGTAACTGTCAGCCTGCCTGGCCTCGGCCCGGACACTCTGGGCCCCACATTTGGTGGGGGTGAGGACATGTGCACTCCCTACCTTTTCAATTCTGCCACCTCCCAAGTCTGCCCGCCATAGCATTTTTATGTTGTCCAGGTTTATAGTGGTTACAAATAATCTTGTTTTCTGTGTGTTTGGCAACGAACATCATTTATGAGGCTGAGCCTGCCTGTAAATATTATTTTCTTGAGGTACTGCCATTTTTCTGCTAAGAGGTACTTGTGGAGGAGTGAGCTCCCTGTTCCTTGGGGTGTGCAAACAGGAACAGAGATTGAAGCATTGGATAAGATCAGACTAGATGCCCCTTGTGGCCCCTCAAGCTGAGACAGAAACCAAAGAGAAAGCCTCAAGGAATTCCAAGGGTGACAAGGGGGCCCAGCCATCACTGCTTGAGTGCCTGCTGTATATACAAGCAGGCATGACTACGACGGCCTTTTTACAGATGAGGAGACTGAAGCCCTGAGAGCTGTGTGCACAGCTGGAGTCTGGAATCACCCAGTCTCCCAACATGAATGTGGGGAAAAGTGATCTTGTGTCCTTGGAGGGCTGGGGGCCTGTGGCCAGGAGCTCAACCAACAGGTCCGGAACAGCCTGCTCCTTATGGTGACACGAGGTCTACAAGGGACCAGGAAAAATATCAGAGGTAACTGGAGATGTCAAGTTCAGCCAGAGGAATAAGGGAGGGACTTGGGCGCTAGGCCCAGGTCCTTTGGTCCCATCCAGCAAGGCCTCCCTAATAATGCCAGGAACCCCCATCTCTCTCCTCCAACTCTTCTCACCCCAGAGGGAGAAGAAGGCATGGGCTCAGGGTGGGACAGACCTGGGTTCCAGTCCATGTGTTATGACTCGTTCATATGTCCCCTGAGACAAGTCACCCAGCCTCTCTTAGCCCCACATCCTCTGCTACCAAACAGGGTGACCCCAGCGTGTATGGTCCTCAAGGGACATAGTTGGTGCAGGATGGGCCACAGTGTAGGGGCATACCAAGTATCCATGGTCTGGCCCCACCCATTCCTTCCCCTCCCACCACAGCCTAAAGTATTGCTAGTAAATTTAGAGACTCTCCAGCCACAGCATCTTCCCATAGTCTGCTACATGCCAACCTCCAGGGGCACGTGCATTTCCATCTAGAGACAGGTCTCTCGTAGGCCAAAGAGGATTGTAGCATTGTCTCACTGGGTCAGGCAGTAGGAGGCACATTTGGACTTTTCTGATAAACCTCAGATCACTCCACAAATGTGATCTGTCTCCAAGGCCAGTTCATTTGAGCTGGACCTGGTGGCATGGGGTTCAGAGAACATGAGTGTCAAAGTCCAGCTTTCTGCAAATGCATTAATGTCCCAGGGGGGTCTCAAACCTGGCCCAACCCATTGGCCCTAACCCTCAAGCGGCCCCCTCCCTGCCCCTTGCTAGCTCAGTCCTTTAGAGCCTGATGCTTTGGGCACCCGAGCTTGTCCTCACTTCAGGACTTTAGCACTTGCCACTCCCACTGCCTAGAGCACTCTCTCTCCAATGCTCCCTCTGGTCATTTGGGTCTTACCTCAAATATCATCTCCTCAGAAAGACCTCCCTGACCACCACAGCTAACATGGGCTCCCACCCCTACCAGGTACTTTCATGTCACTTTAAAATTTTTCAGAATATTTTTCACTCTGATCATTTTCCCTGAAGAGCAGCTCACAGGGACTGGGAGCCCCTTGGCATGTGGGGTGTTGGGCCCCTGGGCAATATGATGGCCCTTCTACCCCAGGGCTGGGCTATATCCATGAAGGGAAAAAACAGAAGAGGAGAATGCTGGGGCAGGGGGTGAGACGAGTGGCACAGGAAGCCCAAATGCCTAGGCAAGTCCCTTCTCTGCCAAGCGTGGGCAGTGGTGCCACTTCAGGGCTATGAGGCTTCAGTGAAGGGGAGGGCTGCACCAGCCTGGCCTGGAGCCCTTGGGGGAATGGCCCCTCCTGGAGATCCAAGCCTACTCTTTCCTCATCTGGATGGAAAGAGACCCAGAAGTGAAGCTGGAGTCAGGGAGCCTTTATTGGTGAGTCAGAATGTGGTAGGGGTGGCGGGGCAGGGAGCTCAGTGACCACATGGCAGCATGTCCAGAGCCCCCAAGGCAGTGGTTTCCAAGGCACTGGCATGGCCCACGCCGGGCAGGCACCAAGCTGCAGCCGAGCACTGTTTCGCCCTCGCAGGGCTTGGCACTCGGGGAGGCAGGCCAGGAGGCCCTCGGCAAAGTCTGGTCAGCTTCTCTTGTGGAACTGGGAGGATTTCTGCCGGTAGATCTCAGCGGTGAAGGGCCTGCATGGGCAGGAGGAGAGGATCCAGTCAGCGGGTCTTGGGGGGATGCCATCGCCCCAGGCTCTGCTTCCCCCGCAGATCATGAACAGAGTAAGTGTGTCTACATGGGACCAGGAGGGCCCAGGGCTGTTCTGTCACCTACTGTGGGAACCCTCAACCCCCACCATGCCCACTCTGAGCCTCCTGTCTGCCACTGTGGTGGGGACTGGGCATGGCTTAGCTGACCCAGCCTGATCAGAGCTGCCCTAGTCATGGGAAGGGCCCTGAGAGAGGCAGGGCCAGCTTGGTAGTCACACTGATGTCAGACAGTGGCCCTGGCCCCCAGGCCTGTGACAGCGCCTACTCACTCCTCATAGAGGATGGCGACCACGTAGATGAGGGCCACGACCATGGTCAGCAGCAGGCCGGTGGGGCTGGCGTGCCTGCAGAAAAGACACACCGCCAGTCAGAGGGCAGGCCCAGCACCGGGCCCCCTCCCTGCCATACTGGGTCCTGCAGCCAAATGAGCCTAGACAGGCAGCTCCCTTCTTGAGTCTGGCTTTCGCTTACCAGAGCTCCCACTGTCCTAGTCCTGACTTGCTAGTCCAGTGTGCTGCAGGGAGCATGGGCCCCAGGTAGGCTCTGTGTCCCCCAGTACTGCCTCCTTCACAGAAGCCCTAGGCTGAGGACCCCAGGGTGGAGACTCAAAGATACATGTGTACCCTGCAGGGCCCCTCTGCCTGCTTCCCCCCGCCACCTCCCCACCGCCTACTGTTTGTCTCCCAGACAGGACCTCATACTGTCTGTCTTTCTGTCTGGGAGCTCCTGGAAGTCTGAGTGTGCTTGATAATGCCCCAACCCCCATTCTGTGGGCTCTACTATCACATGGAGATGCCAAGGTCAAACAGAGACCTTCTAGGGCTAAGATGAAGTCTGCCCTCCTGGAGACTTGCTCACTGGCCCTTATGTGGTTTTCTAAAGCAAGCAGAGCCTCTCATCCTATGAGCCATGTACCCCAGGAGCCATGGAGTGGGAGAGCAGCAGGCTGGACCTCCATCTGGGTGAATTTGCTGCCAGTTGGCTCAGATGGAGTCCAGAGGCTGGGCTCTGTTGCCACAGTGTCCCTAAGACTGATGACCCTCTGCCTGGGAAACCAAATTAACTACAAGCCATGGAGACCAGGAATGGACGTGGCTCTTACAGATGACGTTAGCCAGCTCCCCGGGTCAGGTCCTGGCACCGGATCCCGGAATGTGAACCAAGCAAGCACCCCTTTTCCATTAAATCTACGTGAAACTTGGTCACTTTCAAAATGCTATCACACCCTTGATCTTGACATCCTAACAAACTTGTGTGAGATAATTATCCAACTCTGCAAATGAGAAAACTGAGGTCCAGAATGACCCACATGCTCAGACCTGGCCCCGAGCCTGGGGTGGTGGTGGGGTTGGTCCTAGAGACTAAGCTGTGCACCTTGGGAAGGGAGAGTCTCACTTGGACTACAGGACTGGGAGAGTGGAAGTCTGAGGCCTGCTGGAGGCCCCTGTGCCCTGCCCCCAGGAATCCTATGTGCCATGAATGAGAAAACTGAGGTCCAGAATGACCCACATGCTCAGACCTGGCCCCGAGCCTGGGGTGGTGGTGGGGTTGGTCCTAGAGACTAAGCTGTGCACCTTGGGAAGGGAGAGTCTCACTTGGACTACAGGACTGGGAGAGTGGAAGTCTGAGGCCTGCTGGAGGCCTCTGTGCCCTGCCCCCAGGAATCCTATGTCTCAAAAACCCCTGGCTGCTCGGGCACTGGTAAGCCTTATCCATGGGGCCAGGAGGGAGACAGACAGGGCTACATGAGGCTAGGAGCGGCCCTGCTGAGTCAGAGTCTCTAAGCACCAAGTAATGGCTTGTCTCTAATGAGCTCTCAGTTGGAGGATGGCCTGAGGGCCCCATCTCCCAGCACAGCCAAGGCCTTCACCTCACCACTGCAAGGCTGAGGTCCTCCTGAGGGGGCCTGCTGGTGCTGAAGCTTCCTTAGGATCCCTCACGTGTTCCTGAGAGCCCTGGCCTGACAGTCCTGGGGCAGCGGAGACCTTTCACTCTAGGGCACCAGGCACTGGCTGGGGCACAGAAGGGACCCATGTATGGGCTCTGCCCTTGGAAGGCCCTATCTGAGCACAAATGAGGCACCCATTGGGGAGCAGTCACGGGAGAGCAGTCAGGAGATACCTCAAATGGGTTCGAAAGTACAGACTGGGGTCAAAGGGAGAGAGACAGCATGTGTGCTGGCAGGGAGAAGGGAGGGGGCTCGGCATGGGGGAATCAAGAAGATGCAGAGAGGACCTGTGTGGGGCTTATCCTGTCATTCCCAGTGGGAGATGCTCTGTGGAATGGGTGAGTCGGAGAGTACAGAGCCCAGGATCTCACTGCCCAACTCCAGGCAAGAGGGCCCAGGCTGGGCAGGAGGCTGTCTGGTCTAGAAGTGGGGCTAGGGCAGCAAGCCTTCCTCTAGCTGCTCGTCAATCAAAGCCCAGTGCTATTAGATCTGACGGAATTTCACTCCTGACATTCCACCATCGAGAGTCATTCCTTTGTGTTCCATCTTTCCGGTCTCTGCGAGTACCTGTAACATTCTAGGCAAGTGGTCTTCAAGTGTTAAATAAAAGCAGAACACTTTCCATACACACACAAAATCTTTCTATGGAAGAAGCCCAAATACAGAAAATGGACAAATGGGAACTGCTCTGTAGGGGCACATGGTTTGAAGCCCAGAGCCCACAGCACTTTCTAGCCTGGCCTCCTTGACTTGGGGTGAGGCTGGAGCCCCAGGGTCACTTGTCAGTGCCTACAGCTGGCTGAGACAGACAGCAGTCAGTCCTGGGGCCCACTCCTTCCCAAGGGCACTGGGGTTCCCTCTTTCTGTGGGATGAGAAGTTCTGCAACCTGAACACATGCACAGACCAGCTCCCCTGACAGGGCCAGAGGCTGCTAGGGATCTGATCCAGGCCCTGGGCAGCTCCTGCCATTGTTCCCCTGTGTAGGAGTAGCACTCACTCGGGGCTTTCCAGCTCTAAGCACAGGAGTCAGCAGCCTATGGTCCACAGGCCAAGATCAGTTTGTACATTTCTAAGTGGTTTAAAAAAAAGAAGCAAAAGTAGTATTTCAAGACATCTGAAATTTGTATAAAATTCAAATTTCAGTGTCCATGATGATACCTGGCCACATTCATTCTTTCACTATCTTATGGTTACTCTCTTGCTATACAGGGGCAGAGCCCTGCCTGTGGCCCTTGAGCCTCAATCTCTGACCCCTGAGGGAAAGTTTGCCAACCCCTATTCTAGGTGTTGTGTCCACAGATCCAGAGGAATGAAAATCTGACTTATGCCCTTGGACTCCATGAATGATGAGAATGCTGTTGTCTTCCTGGTGGAGGCAGCCAGCAGGGAGAATGGGCAGGAAGGCCAGCTACTCACATGATAGCCCAGCCCAGGTAGTTGGCTGTGCTGCCCCAGTACATGGGGTTGTCCAAGATGTTGAATGGGAATGTGGTCACTCTTGCCTCCTTGAGGATCCCGAAGTAATCGCCTATGGACAAGATAGGGTAGGACCGAGGGTCACTTCTCGGCCACACCACTACCGAGAGAGGCCCCCCAGGGTGACTCCCAGGAAGCTCCAGGCTAGAGGGGGAGCAGGTTTAACAGCACACCAAGTCAAGGGGTACCCCAGAGCGGGCCCACTCAGTCCATAGGCATGCAGACACTTCAGAGAACATGGGATCCCCAGGGGCAGAGGGGATGAAGTGGTATTATGCTGCTCATTGGTGTCTTGGGCCTCTCCCCAGAAATCTCTTGGACCTTTAATCGAAGCATAAGTAGGACAGCCAAAGGCAGGAGGAGCCAGCAGAGCTGCATCATCTATTATCTGGGGACAAAGGGTGCAGGGGACTGAGAAGGGCTGTGGGAGGCCTTCTACCCAGGAGGCAGGAAATAGGGTGAGGGGCCTGGAGGCAGTGGCACAGAAACCCACTTTAGGGCTGACTCACGGCAGAGCAGTGGCTATAGTACCCTACATCCAGAGCCTGGCAGGCCCTTAGTGTTTCTAGGCCATTTCTTCTGGAGGGATTGCTGCAGTGGCTAGTGTTTTCAGGCTCTTTCCCACTCCCCTCCCACCCTGACTCATCCCTCGAAGTGAGTCTCCCCATGAGGCTCTGAACATTTGCTGCCTCTACGATGCCCTGGGTTGGGAGCGGAGCTCCACCAGCCCCTTCCTGGCTCTGAGCCCACTCTGCCACAGCAGACGCTCGCTGGAGAGCTATTCACACCTGGTCTCCAGAGGACTTAACTGACCAGCACAGTGCCCTCCTCACTCCTGTGGCGCTTGCCCCCCGCCCTGTCAGGCCCACACCATAATCCCCACCTCCTCCCTAACCCCTCAGGTCTCAGCCTCACTCGTCCAACCTCCTTCTTACTGGAAGAGGACCTTTTCAACCCCTTCTATGACCCCTTCCCCCCGGGAGTGGAGCTCAGTCCCCTGCAAGGCCTTTGGAGACCCATGTGACATGGCCCCACCCAACCTCCAGCCCTGGCCTCACTGGCCCCCTGTGCACCATCTAACCTGCCTGCCTCCCTCCAGCATGCCATCCACCATTCTGCCTTTGAGATCACTGTTTGCTTACAGGCCTGTCCTCCTTCCCCTGCCCCCA